CATCTTTTCTACATCGTGGCGACCAAAACTGAATGCAGTATTCCAGGTATGACCTTACCAAGGCATTATAAAGTGGTATTAACACTTCACGTGATTTTGATTCTATCCCTCTATATTAACACTTTAGGTGATCTGGATTCTATCCCTCTTCTATAAATAGATCTATTCTCTTTTCTTTCTTTCTTTGCTAGAACTTTCCTTTACTCTTCCCTTTTTTCATTGCATGACAATGAAATTCTTTCCCTCTCCTAGAGGTTTGCTTGTTGCATGTTTAATTGTTGCCCAGTTCTTGCCTTTGAAGTGCGGTAGCCAGACCCATCTTTTCCCCTTGATTTTCTTCCCCTAGACAGCTTCTACCCGAGTCTCCTAACCCATCATGTCTGGATGTCTTGCAGGTAGCCTAGGGCTTTAGAATCACTGCCATGAAGCACAAGAGTGGGAGGGGATTTCTCCAGAGTAGTGCTATTTGGCACATGATCCTGAAAGGAAGCTGAATAAATAACTGTTGCTAGGAGACCTATTTTGTTGGGCTGAGTCAAGTTGCCAGGCTGACTCTCTGGAATGCTTCTCATGGCCAGCCTGTACCTCCATCCATGCTATACTTATCAAGTATGGTGGACTGCAGGATGACTTGGAAAACAATATGCAGCTGTTGGATTGTGAATTTTAAACCTTTGTCCTAGGATACAGTGTTAGGAAAGAGCAAAATGTGTACTGTGATTCTTGCATGGGTGAGCACACGCCAGTCCCTTCCCCCAAATCTTGCTATCTGATGGGAGCTACAAAGCAAGCCTTTTTCGTGGCAGCCTCTGCCCTATGAAATACTCTGTCCCTTGAAGTTTGTCAAGGCTTCTATCTTCTTAAACTTCTGTAAAGCTTTAAAGACCTGGTTTTCCCCCCACTCCAAATGCTGGGATCAGATTAAAAAACTGCACATTCGATTATAATTTTTGTTTTGTTTTTAATCTTTCGATGTGTTAAGTTTTATAGTTTTAATATGGTTTTATATGCTGTTTAAACACTTTGGGAGCTGCCCAGAGTTGGTTTGAAGATGGGCAGCTATATAATAAATGTTTTAAATGAAATAAATAAAAATATATCATTTAGGAGGTGCTTTGTGGTCCTTTGGTACAGATGGGACAGTATCCCGAGCAACCGTTTGCTTATTCATGGTGAGGGCTAGATCACATTTAGTTAGCTCCCAGGCTTTAAAGCAAAATCCAAATTGACCACATAATGCTTTGGCACAATGGCTCCTAGGCTTATTGATAAGATAACATTCCAGTTCTGGGACAATTTGGCACAACGAATGTGTTGATGTGCTACCTCTTATAACCTGTTGCTCCAGCTGTTAAAAGCAAGTAGAGGCAATTGTTCATCACTCATAAGATAAATGACAGCAAAACAAGATTGTAGTCATAGTTCTATCCTTTAGCAGAGTAGTGGCAGGTAAAGGTAAAAGTTCCCCCATGTGTGCTAGCCATTTCAGGCTCTAGGGGGCAGTGCTCATCTGCTTCAAAGCCAAAGAGCCCGCGCTGTCCGAAGACGACTCCGTGGTCATGTAGCCGGCATGACTAAACACCGAAGGCACATGGACACTGTTACCTTCCCTATTTTTCCTTTGTTTCTACTTGCATTTTTTACATGTTTTTGAACCGCTAGGTTGGCAGAAGCTGGGACAAGTAACAGGAGCTAGCTCCGTTACTTGGTGCTAGGGATTCGAACCGTCAAACTGCCAACCTTTCTGATTGACAAGCTCAGCGTCTTAGCCACTGAGCCACCGCGTCCCTAGTGGCAGCTACAAAGCAGAATTCTTTATAAGGAACCAGGAGTTTGCTAACCGCCACCAGTGGCAGAAGCTAAACAATTAATTGGTAAAAATGGTCTTCAAGTCCATTCTGAATCAGTTCCTTTCCTTCACCCCAAGTTGGAATGTCTGATAACCCTTATCTTTTCCCCTCACGCCTATGAATACCTTTATAGCATGGAAGTTTGCTATTTTCTTACTAGTCTTTTTGCCTGTATGTTTGTCCTTTCCTGACAAAATGATCTGTGTTTCCTCTGCTTTTGCTTCTTGTTTGCTTGGAGTAGATATGAAAGTAAAAAGTTGTTACCTTCCAGTTAAACTCAACTCCTGGTAAAAAATGGAAATGTGGAAATGGTTTTCCACTATAATCAAGATAGCTTTTTCCCCATTCTAGCCGATAGCCTGGAATGCCCACTGGTTCCATCAAACTGCCATTGTTCAACCCTACTGTGTTTTCTAGATCAGCCAAACTCAAGTACCTCCTAGCTGGGACATTGAGTGAGACTACTGTCAAATAATTATAGATGCCCTTCTTCCCCCCCCATTCACTGCCTCTAAAAATCAACTACCTTTAATGTCTAAGAAAAGAAGAAAAATCAGAATACAGAGTAACAAGAGTTGGAAGGGACTGTGGAGGTCTTCTAGTCCAACCCCCTGCTTAGGCAGGAAACCCTACACCACTTCAGACAGAGAGTTATCCAACATCTTAAAAACTTTCAGTGTTGGAGTATTCACAACTTCTGGAAGTAAGTTGTTCCACTGATTTTTCTTCTTTT